TTTTAACCACGACTCCCAAGCCTCTTCACCTTCACTACCTACCTACCACTACTCCCAAGCCCGTACAGGGGACCCCTGCAAGCATTACACACGGACATTCCCACTTAAACCACAAGTACCTGGCCCGGCTATTGATGCTGAGCCAGGAAACGCCCTGCGCGCCAAGTTTTGTCGAGCCGCCGCCGCGTCGTTTCGTCTCTCTTTTAGCTGGCGCCTCCAGCCATTGTGGTCCGGTAGGCCGAAGCACATCAGTCGCGGCGCCCGGCCAATGTATGGGCCAAGTACTGGTGGTTTTAAGTACTGAGCAATAGGAATTTCCAAATTCTAACGAAACTCGGCTGTGCAATATGAATTCAAATTCTCATGAAACCCAGCCCATGTGGCGGCATGGCACACCCATGAACTGTCGGCGAAAGGACCTGAGATCGCATCCTGATGGACACAGGGCGTCCCCGCACGGGACACGAAACGACAAACGAGTGGATCTTGCTGCAGAAAATGGCCAGGTTCATGGGTTTGCTATAAATAGTAACGAGTGTTTTTTGCCACCGGTTTGCTATGAATAGTAACGAGTGTTTTTTGCCACCTTTCGTGGGCAGATGCACTCGTTTCCTTTTAGTTTCCTGTACCGTGCAGCGAGACCCACAGTTGAGCAGAACTCAAAACTCTTTTCCATGGGGCTGCTCAGTCTGATGAGCTGATATTTCAGTGCCATAGTCCTCTCAGAACTTCGGGAAAAAAAAAACACGAGGGAAAAAACATCCAACAAACTGAAACGCAGTGTCGCGTGTACATCTGAGAGAGAGATGGCTGTCTAGAAATGTGCACTTAGGCTGGGACCCCACTGCAGTGCGGATGGAAAAGACTTTTGGCCACGAAAAGAGCGCAAGTCATTTTGGAAAGTTGGAAAGTATTTTTTTCCGGGACCCCATCGCAGAGTACGTTTCGCGGCAAAGCGTTTTTTTCTTTTTCCATAAGACGAAAGGTCCATGGGTAGTGGCCGAAAAAGGGAAGTGCTGGGGTGTCCAGTAGGCTGTGGCTGGACCTGAGGAACCGGCCGTGGCGTGGGTTGTGGGTGACACAGGGCAGACGATGCATGGGCAGACACTCGATGGTCCCACAATGGCAGCACCTGACCTTGGAAAAGTTAACAAAGGCACCCACGGCCATCCTCCGCTTTCGGCACAATTTCACGGCATAATTTTCTCCCGTCAGCCCTTTTCCAGACCGTAGACGATGTGAAAACATCAACACACCATCTTCCAGGCCACAAAATGCGGGCTGTGGGGTCCCGGAAAACAGTCTTTGGAAGACATTTCCGCTTTAAATTTCCAGAACATTTTCGGCGGGGTGTAGAGCCCCGGAAACATTTCCGCGACAAAATGAACTTCCCAGTAGACCACGGCTAGATGCGCCCGCGACAATTTTGTCTTTTTCACATTTTGTGTGGCAAGGCCCTATGCAGTAAAGGACATACATGCAGCATCTCTGGGTACAGCGCCCTGTTGCTGAGCAAATGTCACAATGGTCGCAAAATCTGAACTTAACTTTATATCCGCAGTGGTGATGTTCGGTACGCGGGCCCATAACTCCATGCTTTCGGGTACTATAGTAAAACAGGCCTGGCGGGGGAGCCTGCGCTTGAACAACCTAATCACCCGGCTTCCACGGCATGCCAGCTTTGCCGACCGCCAGCGGCGCACTTTTTCCTTTTTCAGCCTCTGGTGCCACCAGCCTTCCACGGCGTGCCAAGCTTTGCCGAACCGCCAGGGGCACACTTTTTCCTTTTTCAGCCTCTGGTGCCACCAGCCATTGTTGGCCCTGTAGCCCCAAGCCGCCATGAAAGGTTTTCCCACAAGGTTGGCGCCGTGTACTGGTTGGCGCCATGAAAGGTTTTCCCACAAGGTTGGCGCCGTGTACTGAGCAAGTTTTCCCACAAGGTAAACCGCAGGCAGAGAGAGAGAAGAGGACAACAAACGAGAGGCTGTGACAAATATATATATATACTCCGTGATTGAAGGAGGGCTCCACCCAATGAGATGATTGCACAACAGCAAGCAAAATACTGAAAATCTTCTATCCAGTGGGCGTATGGCCGATCCCACCCTCTTTTGGGGTTGGCCATACCCCCAACGGATTGGAAAGCTTTTGGCGGGAAGCTTCCTTTTCACGGGCATGCCCAGTGTTAAGGAGAGGAGGAGGGGAACAAAGATCTCCTTACTTTTTAGGGTAAATTAAATACATGTAAAATACTGACCGTGGGATCACTCACGAGTACTGCACGGCAGGATTTGGGTCACTCGACGGCCACACAAACTCTTTTCCATCCTATCCCGTTGCTAGTGGGACCATGCTCCTGGGGCCGGTCAATTCGATGATGACCCCTCAAGGCCGTCTCCTTTGAAAGAGAAAAACGAAGAAACAAAAAAAAGAAAAAAAACAAAGGATCAATGTATAGTAAGTATTTACGTAATGTAGATTCAAAAATAACCTACAAAAGACATGCTACACAAAAATTCGGCGTCTTGTTAAAAAATATTTTTTTAAAAATTGGAGCGATACAGAGAAGACATTAGCATGGCCCCTGCGCAAGGATGATACGCAAAGACCGAGGAAAAAAAAAAAAAAAATCGAAATAAAAACTCGAAATTCCTGATGAAGCGCTCATAAACCCTCAAAAACCGGAGGGCAAAACTTACCGATTCCTGCACGGAGGCAAAAAAARAAGGGKGAAMAAAAAAAAAAAAAAAAAAAAAAAGGGAATTACCATGGTAATCGATCTGCCGTTAACCTCTTTCGAAAACCAACGAAGTCCGCCAATTGTGAAGTAAAATCCAGTACTTCTATTGATCGTTATATTTTATTTATTTATTAATTCCTTTCAAAATTTTCCAGTTAATTTTATGCGTTTGTCGTTTATTCTCACCGACCACCGCACAAAATCACTTCGTATCCCATCTTCTGTTCGATGTTTGACACGTCAGCAGCAGAGAAACAACCAATCACGACGACGGATGTGGAAGGCGCTTGCAATCACCGCGATCGCGATCCATCGAACACTTTCCTTTTCAGGAAATGTGAAAACGGACGCATCCATGAGAGTCACGACGTCAACAGCTCAACTATTTAAACACTCTTCTTCTCTTGCACCAGCTACGGGGATGACCGCCAGTCACAACGACACGTGTCACACTGCATCGCGCGCGCCAACGCGCGCACACGTGGCACTACCTGCACGACAAAAAATCGACTGCACCAACCAATCCCCAGAGAGAGTCGCGGTTAAAAACTTTGATCCTCACACTCCCCGATCCGGATATTCACACCTACCCACCGAACATCAGGTCTCGCACGGCTAGCACCTCATGATTTTGTCAATCCCCGACCTTCCCCCTCCCCACCCTCCCGCCGCCTCCCTTCCCCCACTTCACCTCTAATTCTTCCGAGAGTCCCATCCCGACGAGACTTCGAGACGACATTGCAAGTAGCATTAACGAGTCATCCAAAAGCGCGCCAAAACATTCCTCTTCTAGCGCAGATAGGCGAAAGTGTGCTCCCTCGGTCTCATCATCTGCACCTATCGTACAAACATTAACCTTAAAAATGTTCGGCCGCTCACCTCATTGCCGCCATCACCTTCGAGTCATCGCCATCGCTGTTATGATCGTCCTCCCTCTGCCTACTAGCCCTACATCCACCTCATCAGAGTAGAGTGCATGCGGGCCCCGTTCCCTCCAGACCACCTCCAATCAATCACTTCGCCAATCAATCACTTTCCCGATCAATCACTTGGCCAATCAATCACTTTGCCAATCAATCACTTTGCCAATCAATCATGTTGTTAATCAATCAAAATTTGTGGACGATACTCTTTCAGAAGAGCCGCCAATCAATCACTTCGCCAGTCAATCACGTTGTCAATCAATCAAGATTCGTGGACGATACTCTTTACAGAAGAGCCGCCAAACACAAAACAAAATGAAAACCACAACCGCCCAATCGCCAGATCCACAGCCAATCCTGAGTAATCCACTTCATCCAACGTGCCGTTCCGTCCGTTCCGTTACGCCAAAATGAGCAAAAGTCTCTCTTAGGGGACCGTCCCGACGGGCGTAGCTCAGTTGGTAAACTCTGGAACTGTGGAAATACAGACCCCTAGTTCGAATCCAGATGCAATAAGATGGAAGGCTGTCTCTTATACACATCTAGATGTGTATAAGAGACAGGTATTTGAGTGCTGAGTAGACGATCATTCTGATTAGTCATCATCTATCTCTATTTCAGGACCTCAATCATCCACTCTATCAACCTGAATCATCCTNCCCCCCCCTCCTCTTAGGGAACCATTATTACTAGATGGGCCTAGACCATCAAGTCTTCAGGCCCCTCAAAATGTACCTTGTATGGCAGATCGACGCCTTAAACATGCGTAAGAAACCCTTACCACCCTCTCTCTCTCTCTCTCTCTCTCGCTCGCTCGCTCCCTTTTGGTTTTCATCTTCTACCGACTCTAATCGTTAAGACTTCGTATCAACGAATAATGTCCTTCACGGAATTTATCGAACTTTAAAAAAAGAACTTCTATAAAAAAAAAAACTTTATTGTACAGGCACGTATATGTGGATATACAAAAGAACGAAGCCCTTTTAAGGAACGATTACTATATGATTGTTTCCACAGGGGCCGCCGTCGCAATGAAATGACTCGAATTCACGGATCCAAGATCGGGATCCCAGGCCGCAGACAGAAACGCGCAGAATTAGTAATCAGTCCCGTCAGATCGGAAGAAGTCGTCAGCCAAGGCGTAGTCCATCAGGCCCCAGATCGAAGGGCGCAGAATTAATCATCGCGGCGATGCCAGATCGCCATGAGATCAAAGGGGTCCGATCGTCCTCAAATCAATAATCAGATCGTTTTCAGAATATGCCGTTGGACTGCCGAGGGGATGAAATCTGATCACAGCAACCTTCCAGATCGTCTCTGTCGTTTTACCATAGCCATACCAAATCTTAGATGGCCGATAGATCACAATCACATAGGCGTCAAATTGACCAGACATCGTCAATCGTCAGATGAACGGTCACATCGTACAGGGAAAGCAGTCGGATTGCCTACACCAGATCAAACAGCCAATCAGATCTCGTCAGATTAAAACAGGCAATCACATCGTCAGATCAGATCACGAGATCAGCTCGTCAGATCAGATGCTGCAACAGTGCCGTGTCGCACTCCGCCTGCACGCGTGATAGTCATCAATAGATAGATCGCAATCAGATTCCATACGCGCGTCCGGTCGCCGAGCAATGAACAAAAGACGGTCCTTGTTTGATCAAATTCCACATTGACCTATCATCCGGCGGTCTGATCCCGGCACCAATCAATGGCGCCAAATCGCTGACAGATCAGAGATCAGATCGCCGCCAACGGGCGATTGGATCGTCGTACCTGCCTTGCCAGTTAAGCGCCCGATCCCCCGGTCAGATCAACGGCGCCTGATCGTTGTCGGATCAACGGTTAGATCGCCTTCCGAAGGGCGTCGCTGGATGATGTCCCTGGGCGTCAGATAAGATCTCAGCACATCATACCGTCGCCCGTGATATTCCTGTCAGATAGGACGGTATCGGATCAGACACGGGTCACGCAACATTAAATAGGTGACCACGACTGCCAGATCCCCGGTCAGATGGCCGTTCAGTTTTTGCCCTGGGCGTCGCGTTTTATGCGCCAAATCCCTGTCAGACGGCAGTTGGATTGCCCTGGCCGTCTGATCAGATGAAATCAGTCAGTCGGATCGGCTGATGTGCAACCGTCAGATCGGCTGATGGGTTTCCGTCAGATCGGACGATCTCTGGATCCCGAATTGATCAGTCAAACAACAGATCGCCGGACAAGATCAAGACTTGTTCTGTCCGACTGCCCTTGTAGCTAGATCAACGGTCACAGATCGCCATCGGATATCTCCCTTGGATCGCTCTCTTGCGGAATTGCTAGCTCACCCGCGCGTTGCGCCCGAAAGTAGTCATGAGATGCCTCAAACGAGAGTGATACTCGCAAACATCAAAGAGCTTGCGCTCGTTATCGGAGAGCCACCTCTCCTCGGCGTCCAGGATCTTCATCATTCTCGATCTGGTCGCGCGCTCCGTCACGAAACTCAACCTCCACCTCAATCGATGCACATACTCCGTCAGTCTCCATCTGGCTGTAGACTTTGTCAAATCAGCTGCATCCTCATCCTCCACGTTGGACGCTATCTTCGCCGCCGTCCTCCCCTCGCTGTCCGTGCACCGACCCCATCTCCGTCCGAAAGATCGACACGCATACCTCCCTGTCAACTTGTCACTCAACGTAGCCGTTAAGATCCCATCGTCATCGATCTCGAACATGATCTCCAGCGGCACTTTCTCGTTGCCGCTGCCCGGTGGTCCCGGTCGCAATCCGTCCAGAACTACATCGCCTAGAAACACGTTTTCGTCACACTTAACCCTCTCTCCTTCATAGACAGACACCGTGCCCATCGTACGGCCATCGAACGGCGTACGACAGTTAGGTTCAATCACTCTGGCAGGAAATGGAGTGTTCCGTTTGATCAGCCGTACGAAATTCCCGCGCACATCGCTAAACCCTATGCTAACGGGCACCGTCTCCACTACTTCGAGATCGAGAACGTTCAGGCTCGCCTCCCCGGTCAGCAATGCCGCCTGCACTGCCGCGCCGTAAGCGATGCACTCGTCCGGATGAATGACCTTGCATAATTGCTTCCCGCCAAAAAGATCGGACAACATTCTCTGAATCTTCGGGATCCGCATTGAGCCTCCCGCCAAAATCAGCTTTCCGATCTCCGATTTGCTGACCTCCGCGTCCTCCAGAGCGCGTCGTACGAGATCGATGCAGCGCTGAAAGATCGGCCTGCACATTTCTTCCAGCTGACTTCGTGTCATTTGCATCGTGAAGTCGTGACCATTGCACAATCCGTCCGCGATCAGCGAATACGATTCGCTGGAAGAGAGCTTGTGCTTCAGCTTCTCGCATTTCATTCTCAGCCGCCTCAGCGCGCGCGCGTTGTCCGTAATCGATAACTTATGCTTGCGACTGATTTCCCGCGCAAAATGCGTCACCATTGCGTCGTCGATGTCCTGTCCTCCCAGCTGGCAGTCGCCCGCCGTGGCGATCACCCGGAACTCCATCCCGCTCACTCTCAATATGGACACGTCGAACGTCCCGCCTCCCCAATCGACCACCATCAGCGTCTTCTGCGACTGGCCGTCGCTTCTACCATCGAACACGTGGCGGCAGCAATTGCTGCCGGCGTCCGAAAGGCTGTCGGTCGAGATCCCGATCCACCTCCTGTTCAGCGTCCTCATCAGCGGATCCGCCGGCGACAGACTGGCGACATTGTTCGTCCGCAGGGCGTACGTGAACGCCGCCGCCGACGATTCCGTCATCAATCTCGTGACATTCAGGCCTGCCAAAATCGCCGCCCTCTTAGTCGCCTGCTTCTGCGATTGGCTGAAATTGGCGGGAACTGCGATTACGGCGTTGCTGACGGGGCAACCCAGGCACTCTTCCGCCATTTCCCTCAGCTTCATCAAGATCAACGAGGACACCTTCTCCGGTGTCAGCCTAAGCTTCACACCGCCCTCCTGGTCGACCTCAATCACGCACTCATCCCCATCACCCCCATCGCTGTCCGGTCCACGAGCAAATCGGTAAGGCCACAGACACATCGAAGCGCTACGGCTAACGTCGTCGTACTTGCGCCCCAACCACCTCTTCACATGAAACAGAGTATTCGCGACATTCTCGAGGGCTTGATCCCGGGCAATCCCGCCAACGAGGCAGCCGCCAGATGGCGGGAAAGCCACGCAGGACGGCACGATCGTTCCCCCCTCCTCGTTCCGTATAATCTCTACGCCGCCATTTCTCCAAACTGCCACGCAGCAGTTGGTAGTACCCAGATCTATCCCGATCGCCGGCCCACCCCCGATCTTACCGATCGGTCGTCTCCGCTTCCACGCAATCGGCACCTTCGTCGGCACGGATTGAATTTCCTCTATAACTTGACTGCGGATATTACCCATCGTCTACAAGACGGCAAAAACAATCCATAAACTTAATAACACTAATTAGTACTACATAAAATAAAAGAATCAATCAACTCACGATCAATTTTTTTGCACTATAACAACCATACTGTACACGAAAGGACCACGCACCTCTCTTCACCCATCGTTTTTTCCTTCGCAGACAGCACCACAGCAAAAAATCACACCGCCGAGCGGTAATTGTCGGGGGCTAGGTCCCACATACACGAATTAATCGATATAGACCGTAGATAGCAAAGATCAACGGCCAGAATCTCTTAATCCCTGCAAGCGGGACCTCGCCCCGGGTAATAATCACCCCGACACAGCACTAACTACCGCTCCAAGTAGAACCAACTACTAAATTACTGCGATAACTACAGCCTCTCATTGATCGCACCACACCCAATTTCAAGACGAAGACGTGGATTTGTCGGAGTTGGCGGCAGCTGTGAAGTTGGGGGCTAGCCGTGCAGTCCTCTCTTACCACTAGAGTATTCGCTGGGAAAGAACATCTATGAATCTTGGTCCTCAGAGTTCTTTTCTTAAATTCCGCACACTGATCTCACTGCATCAGTATCTGAACTGATGTCATGTTCACTTACTTCCCTATCATCGTGACACGTCATCACATGAACGTGATGATTACTAAATTGCTTTCCTAAGCAAATAAGCACAACTCCACGAAGACGATCAATGAGAAAAAAAGAGAGAACCGCTTCTGCTTGTCTTCCATTTTCTCTACTCGACAATCTGCCGACTCTGCTCTCCACTCCTGTTCCCGCAATTACTAATCGTCTCCACTATTGTTCCTACCCGGAGCTAGGTCCCACTAGCGGGGTTTTAGTCCCCCCTTCGAGTAATTGTGAACGTGGCCACAGCGCGGCCCTGAGATGTTCAAATCGGATGGCAAGAACTGGTGTGTACTCGAAACCAGTCTAAACCTCCGCCACTGGGACTTGGCCACGTGTCGCATTCGCCGTACAACGTTGTTCTCCACTACTGTTCCCGCCATGCAACACGACTCTCAGCTTTTGTTCCCGCCATTCCCAACCGTTTGCCGCCGCTCTTCAATATCATTCCCGCCGTACACTGCCTTCAAATTTTATTCCCGCCATACACTGTCTCTCCAATTCTGCTCCCGCCATACACTGCTCTCCAATTCTATTCCCGCCGTACACTGCCTTCTAACTTTTTTCCCGCCATACATTGCCTTCAAACTTTATTCCCGCCATACACTGCTCTCCAATTCTGCTCCCGCCATACATTGCTCTCCAATTCTGTTGTTCCCGCCGTACACTGATATTGTTCCCGCCGTACACTCCCCTCCAACTTTGTTCCCATCGCACAGCCTCTCCGATTCTGCTCCCGCCCTACACTGCTGTCCATGATTTATCCCGCCATGCACAATAACCATTTTTTCTCCTTTTTCATCTCTCCCCAAACTGTTTCCCGCCAAGCCGTGGACAGCTCATACTTGATCCTTGCCAAGTCACCCTGATGACGCGTTCACGGCGGTGCTCACTCGTGCTCCGGCCGAACGGCTGCGTTACTCCTTCCCTTCTGTAGAGCATTTTCAGAGGAATGTCACACGAGCTTCAGACAAACGGGTACCCGCGCAGTGGATGAACGGTCCACACCTGGAACCGTTGAGGCCCAGAAAAAAAGGGCATTGCAGTTCCGTTGCGCTCAGCTGGGCGTTGGCTGAGCACGTGCTCACCTGTGGGCCTTCTACGTCTTACATGGGCGCGTATTCGGGTCACATTCATCCCGAAGTAACCGCGATCGTGGTGGCTCGAAGGTCCTGCTGTGGCTGTGTTCTCAGCTAGCACCGCCATTTCAGAGGTTGGGGACTGCGTGGCTTGAGGCGCTCACCAAAAACTCGAATGATAGGGAAACCCGCAAAATTTTACACAACAGGGTCCTAATGAGTATGCCCTTAGGGAATGCTCAAATTCGGACTTCCCTAGCATGCATTCTCTTCATTTGGAAGAAAATTTGTTTTGCGCCCCTCAAAGTTCCATTTATTTGCGCTGCGCCCTGGGACCGAACATTTCTGCAAGTCGCTGTCAGCAGGGGGCCCAACTTCCCACGGTGCCCTTACTGGGCTGCCTGCGCGATATCCCCTCATGAGGGACATGAATCTTTGGGCCTTGTTAGGCACTTCCAGTACCTGGCCCAGCTCTCGAGTCCGAGCCTCGGCCGACCGGTACGCCGATCCGTGCCGAGGCTCCGACTACCGGGCGCAGGCATCCCAAACGTTGGAGTGAAAGGCACGAAAAAAATGGGAAAAAAAAAATGAAAAAAAAAGAAATAAGAAAAACGAATGGGTTCATTCCCACTTTGGAAACACAAAGCCGGAATGAATCTTCCCACTTCCGCAGATAGAGAGAGATAGAGAGAGAGAGAGAGAGAGAGAGAGAGAGAGAGAGAGAGAGAGGGGTGGCGACCTGCACGGAGGGTCGTGGCGAACTCGCCGCCCCTCTCTCTCTCTCTCTCTCTCTCTCTCTCTCTCTCTCTCTCTCTCTCTCTCTCTCTCTCTCTCTC